AGTCTAAATGATCTTTACATGACGGTGATTTTTTCCTCAGGTTCCATTTGTTCCCACCTGTTGGACAGGTGAAATGAATTTAATTGTTTATCTTCTCTCCTTTTCTTTTTTGTTTTCTAATGATGGTTAGGACATTTTATGCATCTCAGTTACCGCATTATTTGTAGCACGCCGTCTTCCTCTCTCTCTCTCTCTCTGTCCCACTCTGTTTTCTACATTTTTTTCCGCATATCTTTTTCACAGTGGAGTATGCACCCCTTAGAGGACTAAAATTAAAAGAAATATGGTTTATTTCTGGGACAGATTATAGAATTTATGAAAATCACCTGGCTTAATTAATTCATCACTTTCTTTGTTTCTTTTTTTCTAGCTGTTTTCATCAATGAGGTTTATCATGCTTAGATTTTTTCTTGCGCCTTGCTTTTATTCTTTGGTTAGATATACATATTTTAAATTAAAATATTTATTTGTTTATTTCGTCGTTTACTCTCCATGGAATTTATAATATTCAAGAGTTAATTTGTTGGGAGTGGATTTGTTTCATTTCTCATCACGGACTGATATCAGTTAGAGAACCAGTGAAAATCATCACAGAGTACTGGACACATGTGTCGTCCTCTGTGTTTAGGACTCCGGGGTTCAAATCGACATTGGTTGGAATTTATGAGTCATCCAATCAGATTCCAGTGGATGAATGATCTACTAGCCTACAGTAACACCATGTCGTTCTGATTTTGAGCCACAGTGAGTGTGTACTGCCGATGAGTCCTGAACAAAGTGAATAAAACAGTAGCTCTCCAGTACTATTAAGTGGTTTTCAGTGGTTCTTTGACTGATATCAATCCGTGGGCAAATATGAAACAACCTAACTCTTGTATTCAAGTAGTGTTTGGTTACAGGATTTCATCATGAGCTGATATCAGTTAGAAAACCATTGAGAAACCTTCAGGGAGTACTGGACAGACGTTCATATCGCCCTACATTTTGACTCATAGACAGTATGCACCTATAGCCAGGGTTTGAACCCATGACCTTCTGGTTACATGGCTAGTGAGCTCGTAGACCACTTAGCCACTGGGATCCGATTCAATGGCCAGCCAATAGATTCCAACTTCTGCTAATTCACGACATAGTGCGACCACTAAGTAATGTCATCGCTGGTGTGTATTTTTCCTCACACCCAACTCTTGTATATACATATATACATAAGGTTTATTTGCTTCACTAAATTCAGCTTAATTAAATCCCCACTGTTCACTGAATACCATCCATGTCATGGTAAAATAGAAAATGAATTTTTTAAAGTGATCATTTTTGTGTTAGCCAAAACCTGACAGTTTTATATTTATATTTTATATTTTTATATTTTATATTTTTGATTACAGCTTGATTCCACACCGTATTTTTGGTACAAGTATGAAATTTTCAGCGTGGATATCGGTAGCCCAAATTTCGCAGGCCGGCCGTAGATATCAGGTGTGCGTCGGCGTGGGCTCGAACCCCGGACCATGTGGATGGTCGGCGAGAGTCCTAACCACTGTGCCACCGATGCACTGAGTAATCATTCCAAAGGATGAATTTTCACAGTCCAAACGCTTTATTTTCATGTTCAGCAATATGCATTAAAATGCAATCCCGTTGATCTTGTTAAATCGTAGTACAATTTCTCTAAGAATTTACTATCGTGTCTGTTAAATATACAAAATGTCTGATAGTGCATAGAAAATAAACCAGTTACTACTTGGTAGTTTTTGTTATAGTGAATTAACCATTCAATTCAGAAACACCTGGATAACAGATTCATAGTGTGTAACGGGTGAACACCTTCAGAGTAAACTAGCCGTACAAATATACGCTTGCCTGCGAAAAATAACCTAAAAACCATGTTTTTATCACATACATAATATAAATAAATAAATATGATTTATAGACTTTATAGGCTTTACATTTCATTTATTAAAAAAAACTGTCATTGTATTATTGTTATTTTATCAGGAGTAATTTTTTTTCTAAATACAGCACAGTTCCTTCCCACAAACCGATGAAATACGCTCATTCATAGGCATATATGTATACATATATATATATATATATATATATATATATATATATATATAGTTCTGTAAGGAGCCAGACCTCTGTACTGATATATTAATCAATGGACTGATAAATGACATTTTTGAAGAAACGAAACGATTTCCATGACTCTCTGATTTTCCCTTGAATAATTCGTTTTGAAAAACGTTTCAAAAAAAAACGATACATGCTGTTCTAACAAAACAAACGATGCTTCAAGTTAAAACGTTATCTTATATGAAATGTTTTAACTGACTTATATATTTTAAGTTATAAAGAATAATTAATTCGGTCAAAAATAACAAGTTTGTCATTAGGTAGACTTGAATGAAAAAACCCAGTCCCTTAGGCGTCTTTGTGAAGTTCTATGGAAGAATTATAACTATTTTCAGTTTATGAATCAACGAACTGGTTTATCAAGCATTCATACATGATCAGTAATACTGTTTATTTGATTTCCTGTTAAAGAATAGAGCTTCTGTCCTATGCTGGCCTGTTCAACTGACCTCACGATTGACTTTAAGTTCTTATCTCTTTACCATACGATCTCCTTCATGTCAGCCTCCGACATACGCCCAACTCGTCGTTTCCCAATGGAGTTCCATTCGTTCGCTTGTCAGACGCACGATATCAGTCAATGATCACGTTAGCATGTATGTGATTCGTCTCAATTTGTTGGGTAGTAGGTTCTTGGTTGATTCGTTCACAGAGTCTCTTGTTGCTAATCCTTTCTGGCCGGCCGTCTGATCTATAGTATGCAACCAGTGAACGCAGCTGTTGATAAAAGTCTTCAGTGGTCTGTTTGAAATGTTTCTTGTGAAGCGTGAGTCAAGTTTCTGATCCATATAGGAGAACTAAAAGACTTAATATCAGTATTCAAATTTGGAGTTTTGTTTTTTTCTTACTAAGCGTAATAGGTTTCCAAACTGATTTTAGGGTGATGATGACCTGCCTTGCCTTTCTGATCTTGACTGGTTATAAAATCTTCCTTTGAGCCGTTTGCCTGTGGCTAAAACAGTGCTGCTCAGATAAATGACTTCCCTCAGACTTCTCCTATTGATAGTGATTAGTAATTGTTGCTGGTTGGCTGGGTATTTTCGTCACCTCTGTCTTCTCTGTGTTCACTTGAATTCCTCCCTTTGCTGCTTCTTCTGTCATTTTGTTGATCTTCATCTGTAGATTCTCGAGTTTGTTTGAAATCACACGTAAGTCACCCTCAAAGTCAAGGTCTTCTAGAGTCTTCTCATGGGTCCCAAGTATTCCTGTTTTCTCGCTCCCCACTGACGCCTCGTACGCATAAGCCGGCCTACTACAGTTAGGAAGATAAAATGTGTTCATTTGTGATGAATGCTGTATAGAATTCTATACACAAAGAAATGATAACCCCCTTTGATATATGTAACAATTTTATTCAATTGAAATTAAGCTTAAAATGTCACAGTATTATTTAACTGACTTGAAAAAGCCGCTCACTATTAGTGGAATGGAAATTTAAGTACTACATTACAGAACTTAAAATCTCCGTATAGAACTGACACCACTATAATGATTAAAAATGGTACAGAATCGTCACGGAATTTTCTGACTACTGTATCAAGTTTTCAAGTGTTGTTTTGTAGAGATTCGACTGATCTTAAGTTTGATCCCAAGGTGACATCATTTTAATTTCAACTGACTAACTGGATTCTTAGACAACACTGTTATTATTGTTTCCTTGGATTCCTAGTGGAACACAGGGTTTCAACCGCACGTCTCCACTTTCCCCTGTCTTTTGCTGTACTTTTCACCTGCATCCATTTTGGTCCATACTGTATCAACTCCTCTTCACATGATCTCCTCCACGTCACCCTTGCACCGACGACCCACTCGACACTTCCCTTTCGGCCTGGTTCCACTCGAGCAATGGCCTGACACGCGCGCGATGTCACCAGCGGCCCGACCTCCTCAGTGAGTGTCCAATCCATCTTTACTTTCTCCTGCATATATGCTGTTGGTAGGCGATTGGCTCTTGTTTTGTTTCTTCCCATAGTTTCCTGTTAGTGGTGATTATTTCCGGCACCGCCATCTGATCTTCAGTATAGATAGAAGACAGTTGTTGATAAAGATCTACAACAGGCTGTTGAAAATATTCTTTGTGACCCGCCCGTCAAGTTTTTGATCCGTATAGAAGAACTGACTAGACAACACTGTTTCATCATAAGAATTCCATGAGGTATACAACAGCGTTTATTGCAAATAAGGTGGCCATGAAATATCAATCCTCCTTTTTACACCAACACCTATCACATCCATAACAAATAACAGCTCTGTGAAAATGTCAATTAAACATTGTGGAATAACAATTTCTATTCTTCAGTTGACAATAAAAACAAAACACCTTTGTTCAATGCTTCAACAGATTTTAATGTGACAAATGTTCACAACACACAATTCACAAGTTAATTTTTTTACAAAGAATCGAAAATGAAATATGAATTTGTATTAAAATCATCAACCTAGTGTAGGTATATTTTTATACGCATATTTAATATTCAGTTAATCCATAATTCAAGACCCTAATATAACTCCTGTTTGTTTTCTCTTTTCTTTTTCTCTCTTTTCTTTTCTCAATTTTCCACAAATTATGTCATATTTTCACCATCTGGACGGAATACCATCAATACGACGATTTCTGCTGACAAATAAACCTATCAACATGTTTCTGGTTCATTTAATTCAATCAAAAAATATCCGTAAACAATATACATATATATATATGTGCGTGTATCTTCTTCATTCATCCTGATTGGGAATGAAATTGATGATACCTCTGGGCGCATAATACAATATCTCTGACAAATGAACCAAACTGATCGACAAAACCAACAATATATGCATATCTATATATATGTATAAAATGAATTTGGTGAAATTAATCTTTACAGTTGACTGAACAAGATAAAAAGTTTCTTAAACAACGCCCTGATTTAACTCAACCACACTGTATAAATCAGGAGAATGAATGTGCACTAGTAAGTTGACAATTCATAATCATTTATAGTAATAATAATCATGATAATATCTTTATTTTGAACACTGTTCATATAATAGTTTCTCTTTGTCCAGGGTATTCAAGTAAAATAGTAACTGTGGCAGTAAATTGCATGACACAACGCTGTTCAATCTGAAGAGAATACCAATCGATTATGACACTTCCTGTTTGCTTCTTTCGAGAAATGCGCGACATCTGGTAGCACACCAATCGTAAAACATTCAGGCGTACACTTTGACTTAGGTCAGAAATAGTTGTTGCATGTACTGGGATACGCTGTTACTAGGATTATGCTACTGCCTCAAGTTTAGTAGAAACTGGTGAATCAGCGGGTTGTAAACGATATAAACACCCACGAGGGCGGAAAATACAACTAAAGGTCATATTTTAATGGATTAAAAAGAAGTGAAGAAGAAAAATTGTAAACAAAATAATGTTGGAGTAGTTTTGTAGCCCATGTTTTAAACAATCCGCCAATTAAAGGTATATATGTAATAGTGATGATAACTGAGACAGCTTAAGGCTAGTGGAATGATACTGATTTTACTGATTAACAGCTGAAGAAGTCAAATCTACTCGGACTTTGAAGTAATAGCTTGTTGTCGTCATTACACAAGCTTTCATTTGACCTGCAGTCAGTTTTTCTTCCATTGATAATTGAGACGTTTTGAGATGGATGCATGGACAGATACTCAGTTATGACATTAAAGTGTTTTCGCGGGATTTAGGAACTTATGAACTTACCAATATTGGTTCTTGAATTCATGAAGTGTCTGGTACATAAAGTATTACTGGTGATTTAATTGGATTTCTGATTTTCCCGTCGACTAATGGAACCGAAGTGCTCACTCTCAGGTTGACATGTCGGCTTCTTGTTCATATGCTTTGACGGTGTCTGGGCATTTTATTGGTATTTGACTGGTAGATAGTGACTAGCAGTGGAATCCAGGATAAAGCACATTTCGTCCTATTTGGGACTCGTTATCTGGATGTACTTGCATTTCTCAGTGAATGTTGACGTTCCCACCGAGGCTCGAACCCAGTGCCCATAGTTTCAAACGTCAAAGCGTTATCCACTAGACCACTTGGGGGCCATGACACTCACCTCTCGTACAACAGGTCATATTAATTACTTAATTCAAGTTTAGATTTTCCCGTCGACTGATTGTACCGAAGTGCTCAGTCTTAGGTTGACAAGTCGGCTTCTTGTTCATATGCTTCGACGATGTCTGGGCACTTAACTAGTATTTAATTGGTAGATGGTGACTGGCAGTGGAACATCATCACTCACTAAGAAATGGAGGTACATCCGGCTGACGAGTCACGAATAGGACGAAATGCCCATCCTGGATTCCAATGCTTGTCACCATCCACCAATTAAATATTACTGATGATGCCTAATATTTACTTCTGAATATCTTCAGTGATTTGACCATTGTTATAAAAACGTAAACTTAGGAAGACTGTATTACCATAAATCCAACTAAAATATGATTCAGCTCAGTTTCAGCAATAAAAATTATCATCGGGTACTTCAAAAGATATGCATGTCATATTAGAAAATTAAATTATGTACGGAAATACTTAGAAATAACGCCGACTATGCATATATTATGGCGCTTGATTTGTAAATATTTATCTACATTATTCAAATAACACATTTTTTAACATAAGGAATTAGTTTGAGTAAAAATGAATGACAATGGCTTTACTTTACACAAAGAGTTTACACAATATATCGAATTTTCAGGGGAGATTAATGTATAATATATTCCCTTCATCCAAAATCGTCAAGCAAAATAGCAGTCTGTCGTATGTTGTGTGATGTGCTGCCGTTCTATCTAAAGAAAATAAATAATCCCTTATAGGTATTTTTCCTTCATCTCTGATAAATGCTCAGTAATAGGTTGAAAGTCAAATAAAAGTGGGTATGAGTATATTTAGCGACCCATGGACATAATTAAAAGGTTAAAACAAAGAGAAGTCTATTGGATGAAAATTCAGGTAGCTCATTGATTGAAGGAGATCGCCACATAAGACTCATAACTAGACATACTGGTGTTTCACCTTCAAACCAGACATTATATACACATACATATATATCGCTTTTTCTACTGTGCATATTGAACCAACATTCTGGCTGCAGTGAAACCGTGTCTCAGCGTTTCATACATTTGTCTTTGGACGAATAAAGTGCCTACTTACTAGACATTTAGTGACATGTAGCTTGTCATGAAATACACTGAGAAGGTTAATAAGCATCAAGCTGGGTGTGAATTTCATGTTCACTCAGTAATATCTTGTATTCGGAATATCAATCGTCAGCTCAATGATGTCAATGATGATGGATTTTCTCAGGATTCAGTAAGGAGCTGTGAGCAGTGGGGTCAACTATGCTTAGGTGAAGCGGAATTTACTCTTGGGGGTAACGCTACAACTGAAAAAGTTTAAATTCAGGAGTCACTGAATTCCTAAACAAATGCCTCAAGGAAGAACAAGCTTCATGTCGTAACCTGAAAGTCCAGGGTTCAATCTCTGGCGGAGTGGTGGGTGTGGACTGATGAAGAGTCCAAAATGTGGAACGAAATGGCATACTCTTCGGTGCTTCCTAGCTTTCAATGATTCGTCTAACAGCCTAATATCTGAAATTGTTGGAATGGTGGACAGTTCAACGGGCTTATTAAAATAATGTGTCTTACATATTGAATCGATTCCCTTATTCTTAACAGAATATTAACTGTAAAAAAAAATCATGATGATATCTGCATAAAACAGTATACTACTGATTGAGTGAATCGAGCAGTTGTATACTACTCACATCAACCAATGGTGCTTGCTGGCCAACCAGGCAGGTCGAAGTCATGTAAAACGGTTCGCTCGCTTGTGGATGAGCTCATCAGAAGTGTATCCTGTTCGACTCAGCTGAGACAACAGTTTATACCATATAATTTCTCATTATCTAATTGGCCGAACTGGTGATACTTTAAGTGACATAATTTTCAAATTAATTCACAATTTATGATGTACACATCTCATGAAGGTGAAATTTGAAATCATCATGCCTAAAGAAAATTATCTATGCATCATACCTCAGCATACCTTTTACTCCTTGACTGGACACTAAATAGTGTCACGTGTCTAATCCTGGTTTTACAGCAGCCTGAATTCTGTCAGTCAAGTTTGCAATGTAGCCACCATGCTGAGCAGCTCGCCATTACGGTGCACTCACCAGTTTGTGTCCGTGTTATGTACTCGTCGCTAAACTGTTATGGACTATTCGAGAAACTAATAGTCCTGACGCAAGAAGGCGGAAATCAGAAGACCACTAGGTTTGCGATGATACTTCTATTTTTCCAAACACAAGGAGAAGCAATAAGTGGTATCACACCAAAGTAAGTAAGTCAGTGTAAGTCACACAAATTGTGAATGCAAAATATATATGAATACTCAGACAAAGGTGTGAACAATCATTAGACAGTCTTAACATGAATGGCTAATTATAATGAAGTATCGATCCATATATACATAGCGAAATATAGCAGACATGTCAACAACCACCATATATGGATATATGTCACCAAGCAACGGACTGTCAACAAACACTCATATTATATATAATATAAGGGGAATATACATTGTTAAAGGAGACAAGTTCATACAAGTGAAATGGTCACAGACTAAGAGAGCAAACAGAAAGAGAGACCAATATACACACACATAAATATATATATATATATGTGTGTGGATACATATCAGTTCGATCAAAGTATCTCATATAATCGTTCCTTAGCGCTCCCAGTGGAGCATAGGGCTTGAAGTTAGAGCTTTAAAGATTCGGTAGCAGTGGTGTTTAGTTTTACGGGGTGGGGGTGGCTAGCTTCATGCCCAAACCTTCCCTCTTTGCCGGTCTTATTACTGGCTTAGTGAGGCAGGGAAGTGTCCCTGCCGGTGATCGAACCCCAGACTACATGTATAGTTGGCGAGCATTCTACCGCTGTACCGCTGTACAGACGCCTTTCTGACTGGTGATTGCCTCCAACCATCTAATAACCCCTTTTACTCTGTCTTCTGTGTACGTAAATTTGAATGTAGAAAAAGAGGGCAAGGACATTTCAGCTAAATCTGAATTTAATACTTCATATGTAACTGACTGAATTAAGAGGTTACTATTAAGGTCATTTATTTTCCCTACTTGTATCTTCGAACAAATTTATCATTTTTTACAGTGTATAATTAACCTTTCAATTTTTTCAAAACATAAATTCTAATTTTTACATATCGTCTTCTGTTTAAATGCGTTAGTTAAGTAATAAAAATAATAATAATAGTAGTAGTAGTAGTAATAGAGCAGTTCGCTTGAGGTCATGCAATTAATGAAATTGTCTTAATTTTCTTTATTTTTATCACTAATCATGCAAAATGCACTGAGAGAAGTTCTATGCTTTTCTTAGACAAAAATCTTTTCAAAGAAAGTATGTGGTCTTTAAGAGAGTAACTGTGGATCAAGTTGAGGAACAAGCAAACAAACAGATAACCAATTCCTCAATCAATCAATCAATCAATGAGATTAATTCAATGCTGTATTTTGTTAATCAGCTCAAATGTTTTGCTCATAATGATTGTAGGATTTTTGACCTTAAGATAAGATGAATGCCATTGTGCTAATAATACTAAACATATGTCTTATTCTATTTTAACAGAGTAAAATATCCACTTCCTTCGAAAAGAAGCTGACGACCTAATAATGAAGATTAGAGTGTAATTAGTACAGTAGGAAATATAGTAGGTATACTGGTCATCGTTTGTTCATTGACCAGATAGATCACAGATGAATCATGCAAGTTAATGAGAAAAGGGGATTATTTCATTCTCATTAACATATACAGTTGATTTGGCACATTCTAAATAATCCTTCATAAGGCAGGATACCTGATATGGAATTATTCGGTGGTGAGTTTATTTAAGATAGGCTTAGATTGG